AAAAAAAAAAAAAAAAGGAATTTTTGTTTATAGGATTACTTAAACAAACAAACGATGATAATGATGATAAAGAACATTAATTGATATGAAAAAACGGACTATTATTGAGTACTAATTTTTGTACATTTCACATTAGATGCCATACTAATTGAGGAAAGCAACAAAGAAATATGAAATAATTGTTTCATTTTTCTTCTCTTTTTTTCTCAACCAATTCTTAGACTTCAATAAATCTATACTCATCAGCTTAACTAAAACAAACAAAAAATATATAACTACAAACATCAAAGTAATTAGCGGCTTCATTTCCAATAAAGATTCTGTAAACACAATCGCCAACCAACAAAGTTAACAGAACAATGTCCAAACCTCAACTTTTTTTACCAACTTTCATAAACAGCATCAAAACTACGTTTTAAGAAAAAAAAACTGCTGCTATTTAAAGGTTTTTTGATCGTACTACTGAAGTGTCAGAAAAACGAAAGGTTAAACAAATAACAATTTTTTTCAACAACAATGAGACCCATCGTTTTTTTTTTAACTGAAACCCTAAGTAACTTTTAGCCTTCACTCAATTACCAAAAGTTTCCCTCGACAGAACAGAATGTCATTTTATGGATATTAAAAAGGATAGTAAAACTGACGGTGATGTAGTGTCTACAACAAGTTTACTGCAAAACATCTTCATCTGCTCAGGAATTCGCTGAACAACGAAGAAGGCCAATCATCCAACCAGAAATGCCAAAATACTCTTTGAAAAAATGGTCATAGCCAAGTGGATAGATGACATCAAAAGACAACAGTCAGTAGCAATTTATTCACTACCCAAAAGTACGTAAACCCATCATCATCACTACTTCTATCACTATTCCTAACTAGCACTATTACTAGTACTAGTAGTAGTAGTACTACTACCAGCACCACCAATATCAACACTATCATCATCCTACTCATCAAAAACCCTAAACGTACACTACTCACAAACAATAAAACTTTTTTTTCTTTTTTCTTCAACTATTGCAGCAAATGTTTTTACAAAAAAAAACGGCATAAAACTAACAACAACAACAACAACAAGAAAAAAACAAATAAAAAGGAAAAAAAATGATCAAATAAAAACTTCAAGAATAGCTGTTTTTTGTTCTCATCTTCTTAGCACTTCCCTTCTCTCCTTTCCATACGTACATGTATTACAGACAGCCAAAAAAAAAACTATAGTTTAAGATAAGAAATGCAATTTTGACAACAATTATTAAAATATAGCATTTACCGGTCCAATTTCTTCCTATCGGATTAAGAAATAATTAAGCTGGCAGAACGGACAGGGTTGCAGAAAGACGTAGGAAAAATATAACAAAAAACTATAACTAAGGTACATGTTCGCAACAGCAAAAAAAAATCTCGAGTCAACTACAATTTTGCAGGAAAATAAAAGCAAAAAATCTTGTCTAAAATTTAAAGAATCAAAAAACAAGGAAGAAACGAAAAACAAATAAAATAAAGCAGAAAATAACACCTTCCTACTAAAAAAACAGAAATTTCCTCTTGTTTCCTCCTCTTCCGTTACAAACTACCATAAATGTGGTAAGACAAGAATTCTATTGTAAGCATACAGAGTTCCCTTCTTCCTCCCATTCGCATAGCCGTTGTTGTCATCTTTATCCAATTATTTCAATGTATAACTAAAACTGCATAAAAAAATACCATTTCCACCTAATCACATAAAAAATAGGGAAAAAAATTTCTTCTTTAATACAAAAAATTCTTCACTTTTTTCTTCTCCTTCACTCCCTCATCCTTAACTT